TTCAAATCAAACCCCCCCCCCCCCTAATTGACTACTCTAAGAAAGTCAAAATAAGTCAATAGAATTACATTTACTCCATAATTATGTCATTATTAAAATAGGAATTTATCGCAATACTCCTATTTATTTGAACCATCCTTCAAAAATCACACTCTAACGATGTATATCACCAAATGTCTTAAAAACCCAAATGCGCACATTTTCAAGGTTTTATGAGATCAGATGTCCAGGATGCACACATACCAAAATAATCACTATCATTTTGATAAAATCACAAGAAACACTTTTGGAGCCTCAAAATAGACATTTTTGACATGTACATAATTTTCATAAACTAACTTGAAACTCACCTTGCTGTGTTAAGTTAAGCCTAGTTCCAAACCCTATTCCATCATCCAAAGATGAAAGTATGATTTTCGTAAGCATGATCTCCAAGAATTTTCTCAAGACTACAATCCAAAATTTCTTCAAGAGCTTGAAATCTCCCAACCGAAAGATCTAAAATGGTGACCCTCTAAATCCAAGGCACCTCTTGTTTCCAATGAACACCTAAAGTGCTTTAAGATACAACCCAAAATCTCTAAAATCGCCTCCAATGATGTCCATAATTGAGAGAGCACTTAAGAGGTTGAAGAATGAGCAAGCCCTAGCTTCAAACTGGGGTTTTATCCCGATTTGGGTGTTCCCGCAATAATTTTTGCGAATAACAAGTCACCTGCGTCCCTAAATTTGTTTTGTTGAAAGAAAGAGTTGCACGAATTTTTCCACGACTTAACTAATAGGGAAATTAGCGAGTTTTTTTTGTTTCACTTTTGGTGCAACTTTCTTCACTAGAACTTGCGCGCACCAACTAATTCTATGACACAATGCATCCCTTTCAAGGTATTACCTCGAAAGGCTCATATAAATACATTAATCCCATAAATGTGTCCACAAAATAGGGGTGTTACAATCCTCAAACCTTACAAAAGAATACCCACAAAAGACCACCGAACAACACAAAGAAGAATCAAGAAAACACACCATAGTGGCTTACATAACTTGCCATGCAACTAAGGTCGCGGCAGAAGTTGTACAACTCACGATGACTCTACCTCGACTTACAAGCAACTGCTCAAACCAAATTCACTAAACTCAAACTAGTTCCCGAACATACCAAAAACAAAAATGTAAACCAACTTTGGATCCCAAGAATGACACGAAGGAAAGGTCACATTTTTAAACCATAGAGCTTTACGCGACTTAGCCCGTGACCAAAGTCATGGGACTCACTGGAGTCGATTACCCAGTTCATACTTGCAAAAACCTACAAAATTCTTTAACTAGGTACCCTAAACATCACCAAAAATCTTCAAAAACTACTAAACATGAGCATAAACACCTTTGGACTCTTACAACTACTATCCAATGATTAAGCATCATAAATTTCCAAGAATGAGCAAAACATAAAGCTAACTCATCAAAAATGGAGGAACCCAAATGCTACAAAACTGGAAATAACTCGAAGATTTCCATATGTGCACTTTTCTTTCAACCAAAAGCCATGAACAAACAACTTCAACAAACCCTAAACTACTAGCTAAAGATTTACCCATAAACCCTAGTTTTGAGAGAGAATAAAGGAGAGATTGCATATCTGCAAATGAATTCAATATACCCTTCAAAAATAATTTCTCTCTAATGAAGGACGACAAAAATTTCAAGGAATACACACAAATTCACACTTAGATTAGAAGCTCCAGAGAAATGAAACACACACACATAAAACACGTTTAACAAAACCTAATTCGAGAGGTGACATGAAAGAGGTGACTAAATATATATCCACTCACATTTCTAAACCAGCCCTCAATAATAAGGAATTAACGCCTAGATCCCCGGACTTTTAAGTTAAAAACAAGGGTACTATACAAATGGTCTCGCACAACCCTACTTGCGACCTAACTCACGTGGGTACTTGCACGCCCAAGGCATCAAGTTGAATTCTAGTTACTTACGTGACTCCACGCAACCTAACTCGCATGGGAGGTCACACACACAATGAACTCAATGTCCAAAGAGTTAGGTGACCTGGGACACAACCCAAGTCGTTGGCTTGTCACGTAGGGGTTCTGGAATGAAAATTCAGGATGTTACATATAGCAATAGCCAATAGTAGTAGTGGAAACTACCTAAACGAATAACAACATCAAATAAAAGCATAAGCATGTAATGCAAGCAAGCAGAAATGACAATAAAGACATAAATAGATAACAATAGCACACTCAAGAGTGTAAAGATAAAGATAAAAATCCTTATCCATTGGCTTCTTGAAGCACAAAAGCAGGCAAGCAAGTAGAGACAACAATAACCAATAACCTTGGATCTTGATACTAAATGAAAAACTCAAATAGTAGAAAATGAGGAGTCATTAAAATTTTGATATATTTTATTTTCCAATTTAATCAAGTAATATCGTTTTGGTCCTTATTATCTACCAAATTCTTTATGGGATCTTATTGTATACTAAGAAATATTAAGCGTTTATCTACTATTCCTTTGAACTACAACTATATATCTACTTAAAAAATTGGGATCCTATAGTTTTTAGACCCTAGGCAGGTGACCGTTTCGCCAGACCCAAGGAACAACCCTATATATAATATTGTTCTAAAAAAAGAATTACAAAAAATGTACTTTTCAGTGAATTCCTATTTTTGATTAATATATTTTCAAAAGACATATTTAAGAGTTGGTTCATTTCTTATTTTATATTTTTTATATTTTATTTAATTTAAAAATAAATATTTTTTATAATAAAATACATCATTAGAAAGTTTTTATCAAGACGATTAAAATGACACCAAAATATGATGTTTATGGAATTTCTAATTTTTTTACACCGTTTCTATACACTATGCTTTTATTATTATTTTTTTAATAAATTATATAAATTAACTAAAAAATATAGAAAAAGTATAAATTTTGAATTTTCAAGATAGTAAACTAAAAGTTTAAGAAGAATAAAGAGTCATAAATAAAATTTAAAGAATGGATAAAATGTAAGAGGGATGTGTATTTGATATTTTAGAATGGAATTATGTTCTATTTTGAATATATATTGGTAAAATATAGGTTTGTTCCACCTTGTTTCATGGGATGGCGTAAAGCATGGAATAGTGATGGTTGTTCAACTTTGTTCTATTTTTTCACGTCTTCCCTTCTCCATTAAAAACAGGCATGTTCCACATTCTACGCATGGAACAAGGTGAAACAGACATATATTCTATCAATATAACCTAGATATAAAATCAAATATGTCTTCCTTTTCGTATTTATACATTCTTTAAATTTTATTTATCGTATTTTTTATTTTTTAAACTATCACTTTATTATTCTCAAAATATTTTTATATGATTTCTATACTTTGATTAATTTATGTAATTTATTAAATATTAGTAAGAGTAAATTATGATTTTTGACTTTGTGGTTTGCTAATATTTTGATTTTTGTCCTTATGGCTTAGAAATTGCGATTTTAGTTCTTATGATTTGCAAATTATTGTTATTTTCGTCCATTGACTAATTCCTACCTTTAAGTACAAGGGACCAAAACAGTAAAAAAAATTGTAAACCACAAAGACCAAAACAACAATAAATGATAAAATCATAAGAACAAAAATAACAATGAATTACAAACCATAAGGACGAAAACCGCAAATTCAAAACCACAAGGATGAAAATTGTAATTTTTGACAAACCATAGAGACGAAAAATTAGTAATAATAAAACAAAATGTATAAAATAAAAATTGAAAACTTGATGAACTTTTTATTCCGATGTTATTTTAATCGTCTTAACAAAAACTTTCTAATGATATATTTTGTTATAAAAATTATTTATTTTATYATAATTTAATAAATTACATAAATTAATTAAAAAAACCTCAGTAGAGATAATTTGGTCATTTATATGTTCTATTATGTCCAATACTATCTTATCAAAAGTTGAACAGTAATCTATCATGTTATGTTCTATTCTTTCTTGTTTTGTCTACTTATCTATATACCAAATGAACCCCTAGAGGATTAGCCATTTTCAATACTTTATTAATAATTTTATTAAATTATATCTTTTTTTTAGAACATACATTGTATCTAAATAAAGTAAATCCTTTTCCATAATTGAAATTTAATTCATGCATGCAAAATAATTTATAAAAAACCATTTTATACAACCTTTTGTCATAAAATGACCAGTTTTTAGAGGTTTTGCGTATTTGGCCACCCAAATCGCCCCCGGAGGCGATCCGTACATGTTGGGGGGCGATCCCTCATTAAGACCCTTAAAAAAATTCCTTAAAAGACGAGATTACTGTTCACCCTCGAAGACCGGGTTTGACCTCGCCCTAGGGGGCGATCTAGACTGTCCCATCGCCCCCAGGGGTGATCCAGCCTTTTAATCTTTTTTTTTATTTTTTTTGTTTTGTGGTATTTTTAATAAAACCGATACCCCATTTAAGTTGTATTTTTTAACTTTTTTAGAACCAAATTTCATGGGTAAAGGTTTAAAAATAAACCATTATAATTATGGAAACGTAAAAATTATTTTTATTTGATTTGGGTTTCGTAAATCAGATATAAACCCGTACATCTCTTTTTTTTCTTTTTTTTCTACCTCCAATTTCACTATAAATACCAACCTCCTACTTCATAATTTTTCACGCTTTCCCTTTCATTTCTCTTCTCATATATTCTACTCTCACAACCCTTAACCCATTAAACACAATCAACCATCACAAAACATGAAATCACGTCAAAATGATGATATTTGTGTGTATCTTCGAAGTGGCGGTTTATTCCAAGATATAAATGGTGTTTTAGAGTACCTTCTCCCCCACATGTGCAATACGTTTGTCTTCGCCAATAACGTATTACGGGGTCGTCAAACGTGTGATGAAAAAAGTTAAGTTTACGTGGTCATTTCAATTTATTTTTTAAAACGAATACGTTATATCAGTTTATGGACGACGATGATGTGGTAATCCTCCACAACGCCATTCGTCAAACTTTACCAGAAATGTTAACACTATATGTGGTCAACAATGGAGGTTATGGAGGAAATCCATCAAGTGCAAACTCGGGCGGTCCAAACACTTTTTACCCCGATGCTGTGAGCACACTCTTCCCCGACGTTAGCGGTTCAAACCCATATGGTCCAAGCACACTCTTCCCTACCGGTTGTGCTCCTAGTGTAAATCAGAGCACTTTCTTCTCTAGTGGTGGAAGTGGTGAAAATCGAAGCACCCTCTTCCCTTACGATGGCGCGGGAAATTCATATCTTGAACAAAAAGTTACCGTTGAACCTGACAGTTATTTTGTTCAAGACTTGAAAATGCCTCCGATGCAGTCTCCCTACCCGTACCCGATCTGGTCTCCCGAACTGTCAAAACCGTTGTGGGAGGTAGATATGGCAGAAGATGTTTTTGTTGCTGCGGAAATTTTGAACATACCTGAAGACGACGATAACTCCGATTCTGAAGATATCAAGCCGGTAAGGAATAGTTTTTGGGGTATGCCTGACACACCACCTTGTCCGGACCCAGTTATCAAAAGTAGGCAGGGAAACATTTCCTACCAGCCTACATCCCATGTCAAAGTTCTACAAACTTTTGACTCGAATGAAGCACTTAAGCTCGCAGTGGGATTAAAGTGCGTTCATGAAAACTTTCAGATGAAAGTAAAGAAATCTTTCGAACACCGGTACGAGGTGGTGTATCACTCAGATTCGGACTATGATTGGTGTTTGATGGCTGTTTCCATCGATGGTACCAGTATTTTTCAGGTACGGAAGCTCCACGATGAACACACATGTTCAAGGTCCCAAGTGCACCCAAACCACCGTAATGCGAATAAAAAGGTTTTGGGTCATATACTAGCAGGCAGTTTAAAGGATTATAGGAGAGTATACCGTGGTAAAGAAATCATGGAAGATGTGAACCAACGGTTCAATATTAGCTTCTCCTACCACCAAGCATGGCGAGCAAAGATGTATGCCTTGCAACTGTTGAGGGGGACCCCGGAATCGTCGTTTAACCTACCTTCGGCTTATTGTCACAATCTGAAGCTAGCAAACCCGGAGACTGTGACAGAGATCGCTCTTGATCCACTTGGAAGATTCGACATGTTGTTTGTCGCACTCGGTTGTTCGGTAATAATTTTGTCATATTTTATAATTATTGTCATAATTTTATGTTCTGCAATCACATTTTTAATCTCGTTCATCTGCAGATTCGATCGTGTCTAGGACACATGAGACCGCTTCTTATAATGGACGGTGCCCATCTGAAGGGGTCGTACGTTGTCACCATGTTCTTAGCGGTCGGTATTGATGGAAACAATGGTATCGTACCCATTGCAATGGGAGTAGGGAAGACAGAAAGTGGCCCGTCATGGACGTGGTTTTTATGTAAGCTTAGGCAGTGTATCGGTGATGTGCCCAATTTAACCTTCATCACCGATAGGGCTGCCTCTATCAACCTGGCCATACGAACTGTATTTCCTTCTGCGCACCACGGACTTTGTTGTCGGTATCTGAGCCAGAACTTCCGCCTAAACTCCACTAAAGAGAAAAGGAAACGGTGGATGTTCTGGGAGGCATGCAAAGCTAACCGGTTGTCGGACTTTGAAGCTACTATGGATTTGATGCAGCACAATCTACCTAGAGCCGCTCAATATCTTGAGGAAGTTGGCTATGCTAGATGGGCACGATCGCACTTCCCTGGATTGCGTTACAATGCAATGACGTCCAATAGTGCCGAGTCCATCAACTCAGTAACACGGTTTGCATGCTATCTTCCGATAACAATGTTAGTTGAATTTTATCGGGCGACATTGCAACAATGGTATTTCATATGTCGGCATAACGGAGGTAAATTCAACCATCCTTTGACTATAAGTTTGATTATGTAACATATGCTAATGATATCAAATATCTGCAGCGCAAATGATGAATGCAATGACTCCTTGGGCGGAGGCCAAATTAGAGAAGAGAATACATAGGAGCGCAAATTGGAAGGTATATCCCATCAGTGATTTGTTGTTTGAAGTTGACGACCGCTATAAGAAAGGAACATGTGATTTGCATGCTAAGACTTGTACATGCATGCAATGGCAACTTTCTGGAATAGCTTGAGGTCATGTGATTTCTGTTGCTCGAAGTTTAGATATTCAAGACTGCGGTCAATTCTGTTCTGTTCGGTTCAATTCCGACTTTTACCGTGCAACATACGAGGAGGAAGTCATTCCCCTTCCACCAGAAGTTGAATATGTGTTGCCCAACGAACGTTTGACCGTCCTACCGCCTCCCTTGGACATACAAAACTCAGGCAGGCCATGCAACCGTGATCGTATACCGTCACGGGACGAGGAACCAATAGTGAAAACTTGCAGTCGATGCGGCCAGAGTGGACATTTTCGATATAACTGTCCGAGTCCTATGCCAGCTCCTAGGCCGACGCACGGAAGTTCAAGTAGTCGTCGAAGATCAATTAGTCGTCCAAGCAATTGTGGTTCATCTGAACCTGATACTACACAAGACTACGTATTTGATACTTACGATTTAAGTAAGTAGATGTACGATTTTTAAGTGTACTTTTGTTGTTTTAATGGGAAATAGAAGTTTGATTTAGAAATGCATGAACATTAACCATTAATACATTGACGAATCAACTGAAACAACACCATTCAGACATAACATTAAACTGAAAAACATCAACGACAACAAAAAAATTAATACATAACATTCATGCTAGTTTCCTTCTGGGTAAAGTTGTTTGCAAGACTCAATCCAGTACTGTTTTTCATTGATCATTTATTGCATCACTGGGTACCAATTCGCGATGTCCTTCACAACTTTTTCCTCCGCTCGAATTTCCTTTTGCAATTGCTTGATTGCTTTTTTCTTCTCTTCAATAGATTCTTCGTGTTTGTTTTGTTTCTCCCTGTTAGCCCACCAGTCATCGGTGATCTTCTTAATCTCCGCTTCGGCCTTTTCAATCGAAGCCTTCATCCTTGTAGGCATTGTTTGAGAAGACGATGAGTTTCCAGCCATTTCTTTCAATAACTGGACAAGTACTTGTATCGGATTTGATATGAAGTTGTGATATATGATTTCACAAGGCATCCYTTTTATACACTATCGGGCCTTACGATTTAAAAAAGGTTGGTCTAGTAGCTGGCATGGTGTGGTCAAATCCGGTCATGAACTTGCATGACTTGTTAAATCGTCCCTGACATAAAGCTTACAAGATTCGTCCTGGCACCCTGACCCGTGAACCTACCAATGCACTGTCACAGCCTACGAGTTATTAGCTGGCATGGTGTGGTCAAATCCGGACTATAACCTGGCATGACTTGTTAAATCGTCCCTGTCAAGATTCGTCAATATAGCTTACAAGATTCGTCAATAAAGCTTACAAGATTCGTCCTGGAAAAGTCTGACCTATAACCCTACCAATGTACTATCTCCCCCATTCTTTGCCTCGATTTTGGTGAATCTACCCTAAAGGCGACCCAAATTTTTTTTTCCCAATTATGGACTTGTTTTAGTGTTTAACGAATCATGGAATACCAATGGACTTTTTTTTAGGTTGTTTGCACACTTTTCGTTATTAATATGCAGTTTTCTAAAATTCATATAAAATAGATGGATGATCCAAATGAGACGATTCCAAAACTAATATACTAGTGTGCTACCAACCTACAACTTTGATTTAGAAAATAGAATCTAGATTGGTCTCTGAGAAGGGTCAAAAATGCTTACAAAATGCATAAAGTGAATTTTTTTTTTACAAATTTCAGTCATGCACCTGCCATAAAGCTATGAGTTGTTAAATCGTCTATGAGTTGTTAAATCGTCGCCGACATAAATCTTACAAGATTCGTCCTGAAACCCTGACCCATAACCGTACCAATGTACTATCCCCCCCCCCTTTTTGCCTCGACTTTGGTGACTCTACCCTCAGGGGTGATCCAATTTTTTATTTATTTTTGACATTATTTTGCAAATTAAATATAAGTTTCTTTGTTGGTGTCAAATGTTCCTATAAAATGGGTTGTTGCTAGAGGACATATTACTGGCTACGTTTTCCTGTTTTCTTTATAACAATGGACGGAAGCTCGTCCAATTGTAATTTTAAAGTTCCAACAACGAATGAGGAGTGGGAGAGGCTTGGAGAAGAATGGTGGAGAAGTCAACTACCTGAAAAAATGTATGTGAGAGAGGCTATCAAGGACTACGAACTTAAATTGGATATACTACAGCAAAAACGTGCGGACCTTGGTTCAAAAAAGGAGAAGATTGAACATGAGATGAACGAGCGGACGAAATGGATTGCTGATGCAAAACAACAGATTAAGCAACAACAGTGTTGGATTGCTGATACACGAAAGAAAATCAAAGAGGCGGAAAACCTGAACCACGAGGCATGGTTCGAGCTTGATAGATGCATATACATATATATAGATACATATACATATAGAGATAGATAGAGTATTTACAGGTGTTTCCATATTAGCGGCGAACGGTGGTGGATGGCGGCGCTTGACGGTGGTTGTTGGCGCCGGAAGGTGGTGGATGGCGGCGGATGACGGTGGTCGGTGGCGGCGGATGGTGGCCGATGGCAGCGGATCACGGTGGTCGATGGCGGTGGATGGTGGCCGACGGCGGCGGATCACGGTGGTCGGTGGCGGCGGAAGGTCGTCGATGTCGTTATACGGTGGTCTATGACGGTATGTCGAAGAATAGTGGTCGTTCTTGGTCGGGATGGTCGGTAGGGATGCTCAAGGCTTGGTTTTTCGTTCGGTTTTTCGAGAGAAAACGAACGGTGGTGGGGATGGATGGTGACTTATGGTCCCCCATCGCCAATTTATATAAAACGTTAAGTAATAAAACAAAATTCATCGTCAAATCGACGTCATAGAGTGTCATAACATGAAAAACCGCGAAATCAGATATAATGTCTGATTTTTTCTCCCAAAATCAGCTAATTTTTTTCTTTTTCGTAACCACAATTACCATTGTCTTATTTCATGCCGAAAAACCATGAAATTTAAAATTAAAAACGTAAAAAGACACAATTTATGTATTTTTTCATTTTTATTAAAAACACTCCTTAATTGTTAAATAAAAAACACAAAATGACGAAATAGAGATCGAATTTCGTAAATTAGATATTATATCTGATTTACGAAACCCAAAACAGATAAAAATAATTTTTGCGTCTCCATAATTATAATGGTTTATTTTTAAACCTTTACCCATRAATTTTGGTTCTAAAAAAGTTAAAAAACACAACTTAAATGGCGTATCAGTTTTATTAAAAATACCACATAAAAAAATAAAAAAATAAAAAAATAATAATAAAAGGCTGGATCACCCCTGGGGGCGATGGGACAGTCTGGATCGCCACCTAGGGCGAGGTCAAACCCGGTCTTCGAGGTTGAACAATAATCTCTTCTTTTAAGGAAAAAAAATTAATTTTTTTTAGAATTCTAATGTGGATCGCCCCCCACATGTATGGATCGCCCCCGGGAGCGATCTGGGTGGTCAAAACGCAAAAACCTTAAAAACCCGGTTATTTTGTGGCAAAAGGTTGTATAAAATGATTATTTTTATAAATTTCCTATATATATATATATATATATAGAGAGAGAGAGAGAGAGAGATGAGCGATCAAATGAAAACCGCCTTCATTTGTGTAAACCATTCTCATTCATCCATTTTCTTGATCAATGGTCAAGATTAGTTTAGTTTATTTTAGAAAATTAAAAAATATATATATGTTAAAAAAATTATTTTATAATAACGAAAAGGGAAAAATGATAAACCCAATCACATCTTCATCATGCACCCTATTATAGTAAATTCCTCACCTTATTTATCATGCACCTTGTTTTACTTGTCCAATTAGATTGTTCACGCATCATATTCATCATGCACTCATTTCATGTTGTACTCATTTTATCATGCACTCATCACTTACTTCATACACCAATTTCATCATGTATGAAACCGGTTTCATCATGCACTCATTTCATAATCATTTTTCACTTACTTCATGCACCAATTTCACCATGTATGAAACCGGTTTCATGAATATTTTTTTTCTATTACTGATTTCATGAATTTATTAATCTAATAACTTACGATTTTCATGAATCTTGGCAATAATAAACCACGACACAATATAACAAAATCTTATTTTTAATATTATAATTTAATTAAATATTTAAATGTTACCATTTATAAAAATTCTTTTATTATGTTATTTTAATTAAGATTTATTAATAATTTCCATATTTAATAGAAAACAATGCAAATGACCAATATACTCTTAATGATTAAATTTAATTAGAAAAACATATAATTTTTCTATTGGTCGAAATTAGTTTACACGGTTTCTAAAAATTGCACGGTTTTCATTTGAACGTGTATATATATATATATATATATATATATATTTGGATTATTGGAAGGATTTCCTTAGGGTAGGTCAGATCCAAGGCTATTATGGGGGAAGGCAAAGATGGGCACCGACCAAGGGTTAGAGAAAATTGGGGTCCAACTTTTATAGTTATATAAGAGGCCTAATTTTTACTATATA